CCCCACACCAACCCAAAACAGTATTCTAATTTTGTATACCAATTATCAACTAATCCTCCAAAACCCACAAAACCTATATAAACCCCCCAAGATTTCTCTCTTCTATCCTAACTTCTCACATGCCTTTTCTTTTCTATCACATGAATTTCCCAAAATTTCTTTTGGAAAAGTAGAATTACAACTTGCTTTCACATAAAGGAACAAACAAATAAATAAATCTGTTACAACACATCAATTCATTGTGATAAATACATAATTGGATCTATCCACCCCCTAAATCTAAACCCCTACTTCTTCAAGATTTTACCTTCAAAACCCCATTTCTAGATCTCTCCACATTTGCGCTTTTTTGGTGATGGCTGGACGTTATTACAATGACAATCCATTTGATGAAGAAGAAGAAATGAACCCTTTTTCGGTAATTTCATATATAAACTCTTTTTTGCTTCCTTTTTGTTTATGTATCCCCCCCCCCCCCCCCCGTAATTTGGATGAATTCGTGTGGGTTTCATTTCTTGTTTTAAAGGAAAATGTGGGGTTTTGTTGGTGGGTTTTTCAGATTTTATTTGTTGGTAGGGTTTTGTTTTTTGTGTTAGAAACAGAAACGTATCCAAGATCTGGGTTCGGGATTTGCCATATTATGGGTTCTAGTTCGGGGTTTCTCCACATTATGGGTTCGGGTTCGGAATTTTGTTTGGTGGGTTTTTCGGATTCTTTTTGTTGGTGGGTCTTGTAGAAAGAGAGACTGACCCAGGATTTGAACATTATGGGTTTGCGATTATACCATTAGCCCATTCGATTTACTAGGTTCAAAATGTACTATTTGTACTTGTTTAGTGGACTGTTAGACATATATACTGCATTCAAGCCAAAGCTAAGTCAGACTCTACATCCGCTCCCCGACTTAGAAACAATGTACTTGTTGAAGATGATATTGGGGTTGATTTTGTTTATTTGTTTTTCCTATTTCCGGATGTGTGAATGTCATTTTGGTTTTTGGTTTCATTTTACAAATTTCTTCTTGTTTAGCATTAATCAACTGGAGAATATACTGAAAGATTCTGTGGGGGGTTTTGTTCTTTTAGGCTTAGGAGCTAATTTAACTTCATTGAACTGGCTTGCTCTCAATTCATATTGTAGAATACATAACATAGAATTGAGCTGTAACTTGATTTTGACTAAGAATTACACGAGACAGAGTGCATTGGCTAACTAAAAAGTTGGTGACAATCGGATTTTTGTCACATTTTAGTGTGTGGAATGATTTTGCTGGAGATATAGAGAGAATTTATATGTCACCGAGCAGCTTTATTAAAGGCAGGAAAAGAATCACAATTCTTATGCTGTTGAGTTTATATTTTGATTATTTGAATGGTAAAGTCATTAATGTGTTGCAGTCCTAGAAAGAACGTATTTGGTGTATTGGTTCTGTAAAATTTTGGCATATGCTGCTTGTATTTATGTGACCTACATGATTAGTTTTGTGCATTTTAGATAATTGTCTTCATAAGATAATCTCCTCCTTTTTTCTTAAGGACCAAGGAGCTCGAGGAAAGAGTCAATCAAATTATGGTGGCGGTCCATTTTATATGACGGTAAGCTTATTCCTTGCTTCATAATTTGATTTTCGCATTTTGAAACTATGAGCTGTTCAAAACCAATACTCTCTCTGTCCCACTTTATATGGAGCTGTTTGATGAGGCAGGGAGTTTAAGATGTTAATTTCATTTATATATTATATTTTGTGATAATTGAAGATATTAGGATAATGGTTGAAAATTTAGTTAGAACTTAGACATAGTTTAGTGATTTTGAATTTTTGAAAGTTGTGAAAGATGTATAGAAATGAAGTGGTACAGAACATTTTTGGACATCCCAGAAAGGAAAGAATGTCAAAAAAAGTGAGAAAAAGGTAGTACCTGCGAATCTGAGATCTGTAAATGAATAAAGATCTTGAAAATTAAGAAAGACATTAAGATCCTTCTCAAAAAGGCAGAGGTTAAGGGCTTTGTATTGTGAAAGGACCCCCATCACCTAGAAGGCTAGAAAGAAACAATGGACCTAGAATATTAGAGCCAAGAATGTCCTCGTCATCCAATAGGAACTGTTTTCAAATATTTTAAACTGATTTTACAGTAATAGTGAATGCCACAATCATGTAAGTGGTTCCAAATAGTGAATATCTACCCACACTACCCCAAGAAGAAGGCTGTTTTTTCGTCCTCCACATTGTCCTCTGCCCATAACCTAATTTAAGACTGCAACGAGTTTCTGGTTACTGCTTTAGTATAATTTGAACTCTGATAAAAATGGAACAAAAATCCGTTAATCATGTTAAAATTGGACTTGAGTCTTTATTTCCGTTTCTTTTCGACATATTAATGCGATGCTTGATCTTTGATTCTTGAACTAGTGAGAATGTGGATGTGCACGTTCTCTTCTGTTCTTCCGTACCAATCATGTATTATCTTGCTTATGCATTATTTTACTCACTAAATCTCAGAATCCTGTAAGTGTTGCCCCTGCTACAAACTCAAGGCTTTCACCTCTTCCTCATGAGCCCGCTGACTATGATCGTGGTGCAACTGTTGATATCCCTCTTGATAATTCGAAGGTGAAACAGAATAGTTAACTTTAACATTTATACAATTTTCTTGCTTGACCACGGTAGTGGTGTTTTGTCGGGCACTAAGACATGTTTATATAACATTTCAGGATCTGAAGAGCAAAGAGAAAGAGCTTCAAGCTAAAGAAGCTGAACTGAGGAAAAAAGAACAGGTAGGCTTGTTTACACTCTATTGGGGCTACTTATATCATTCTTTTGCTTAGGCTACATATGAAAAAATCCAAGTTCACTTTTTTTGACATTATATAGAGAAATATTTTGTTTTAGTTTTTTTTTTTTGAAAATCAATGGTGTTGACTATATTTGTCTTTAGGCATTCTATACACTATATTAATTGTCAGTTTTATTGGTCTCATTTAGGAACTGAAAAGGAGGGAAGATGCTATAGCAAGAGGTGGTTCTTGACTGTATCATATACATTGATTTTTTGTAAATATGAACTGAATTAGGGCATCTGGTTGCTGCTTTCCTTACGTGTGAGCTGATTTTGTTTCTGTTTTACCCTACAGCTGGGATTGTCATAGAGGAAAAGAATTGGCCACCTTTCTTCCCCATTATTCATCATGATATCGCAAATGAAATTCCAATCCATCTACAGAATTTGCAGTATGTTGCATTCACTACATTGTTGGGTATGTTTAATCTAATCCCTATCTAATATTTCTGCAAATATTCTTCAACGTTTTAGTTTACATATCTATTGGAGGTTGAGATGCATACTAATAACTCTTCCTACTTATAGTAGGTTGCGTTTATTTTAAACAAAACTTTATATACGGTTCTAGTGCATTTCCATTTTAGATTTCTAAATCTCAAAACCATTTTCAGGCAACAAATTTGTTGTGCAAATTACCAAAATGACTGCTCAATTGTGGATCTTAAATATCCCAAAAAATGCAAGTAATTTTTCTAAAAGAATCTGTATCTTAAAACTGCCACTCCAGTTGGAGATAAAAGAGAACGGGGGAACATTGCTAAATAATGTATTAGAAACGTTTTAGGACATGGTATATGATTTTTAATTGTTAAATCAGACAATTTTCTTTTAATTTCTCTCTCTAATTAATGCACTTATTAATTTAATTTGGGTATGTTGAGTTGCAGGCTTGGCAGCCTGTCTTCTATGGAACCTAATAGCAGTCACTGTAGCCTGGATCAAAGGACAAGGTTGCTGCTGAACTCGTCCTTTTACAATTAATTTTTTAATCCTTAAGTGAAAATTAACCAGCTAACTTTCTTTTTTGTCATTGTAGGTATAACTATCTGGCTTCTTGCTATAATCTACTTAATATCAGGTGTCCCAGGAGCCTATGTGTTGTGGTATCGTCCTCTTTATCGTGCAATGAGGTACCACTTTGTGTTCCTTCATTGTGGGAAATAACTTTTACACTACCTATCTATTTATTTGATAATGCTCTTCTACCTCGCAAAAAGTCTATTTCATTATTTCCATTCTGTTTGCAGGACGGATAGTGCACTGAAGTTTGGGTGGTTCTTCTTATGTTATCTCGTAAATGTTACATCACCCTTTTTAGTTTTTCATCCTTTTTAGAGTTGATTTTTGAGAACAATACTGATTGTTTATATTCATCTTGTAGTTTCACATCGGATTCTGCATCATTGCTGCTGTGGCACCTCCAATCTTCTTCAAGGGGAAATCTTTAGCGTAAGTTGCTTTGTCATATAGGGACAGGCAGTTGTGCTGGTACAAAGAACTTCCTGGCTGATCTCATGCTTTGAGTTATATAAGTTTTAGCTATATCCGTATACTGAAATATAGTATGACTAATTCTTTTACATTTCCTTGTTTAACAGTGGTATCTTGCCTGCAATTGATCTTTTAGGTTGGAATGGTTTGGTTGGGGTAAGTTTCTTTTGCCGTCTAAAATTTTGCCTGGACTAGAATTTAGTCGCATGGTTGTCTTCTTAAGTTCTTGACTTCTTAATGAATTCTTTTAGACGTTTCATTGACTTGTTACCGACTTACAGAGAATCTGATGAGTAATTCTTTTCCCGCCATAAATGGAAATCTTCTTTTTACTTGCAGGTATTCTACTTCATTGGGTTTGCATTCTTCTGTCTTGAATCACTAATCAGCATATGGGTTATTCAGGTTGAAACATCTGCCCTTCTATCTCATTGCTTTTGCTGTTTTCTCTTACCTGAACATCTTTCCGTGTGCTGTGCAATGTGCAGCAAGTCTACATGTATTTCCGGGGAAGTGGTAAAGCTGCTGAAATGAAGAAAGAGGCCGCAAGATCAACGATGATGGCAGCACTATGACAACATAGGAGCAAAGGCAGCACAGTTTTTTGAGATTCGGACTGTTGGATTCTTTGATTGCGTTCTTCTCACACCATATATCATACTTGAGCGCTGAAAATGTGGTTTCTGAAGTACATAGTGAAGTCAGTGGCGGCTATACTGAAGATGTATTTGTACGTATAATCACGAGCATTTTGAGAAATTCGATGTTAATTGGAAACATTTCCTATCTGTCTCTGGGTATCTTCTTACTCTTAGAACATTATCACCTTATGCTAAGTATACAAAATCATTGAACTGCTCTACTGCGAGTTTTTGTTGTCTGTTGTTTCTATGTGCAAGAAATTGGACATTTCTTGTCAAGTAACGGAATGCAGCAGAGAAAGAGTAGACGATGTTCATACGAGTAGAGCACGGTGCACTAAATTCCCACTATATCGTTGTGTTGAGAAACAGGACAGGAACACATTGGATCTATCGTTCTTTCCTTGCAGTTTTTGCAAGAGGTGAACTCCTGAACTTACGATCTCATGGCGGCAACTTTTCCCATTGCGCTAAGGGAGATGGTCTCATGACGCCAATTTTTTCTATTGCGCTATGGCTCCCTTCAAGTAGATGGTGTTCTTACATTATGATAAAATTATCAAAAGTGAATTGTGAAGAAAACAAGAAATAATAAGAGTAGAAAATTATTTTAAAAAAAATTGCGATCCGGTTGGGGACCTACGTGAACATCTTTTAATTAATTGTTGATAATATTTCAAATAATCCAGCTAGCAGATCTTGTTTCCCTTTTCTTTTTTTCTATTTAAATGTGAAAGAAATATAAATTCTAACGACAGTTTCTCAATAAGAGAGTTTTAAGAGAAAGAAAAAGAGACGGAATTTAATGTTCTAAAGAGAGTTGTCAATCTGATGAGCTTTTTAACTCTTAAATTATTAGCTACTAAAATTTCTTTATCTGCGTAACTCTGTCCTTCTGAAATAGAAAGAGTTTTAATTATGAAAAATAAGGCAGGCTTCATTTTATAGGTTTTGGATACAAAGAATAAAACGAAAAAAACTCGTGAGATCATTACAAGATATATCTTGTATTTCTAGGACTAATTAAGTGTTTAACATTACACTCCTAAAGAGGAAGAAAAGTAGGAACATTATTTATAAATTATGCGTTCCTCCAAGTCAGTGAGTGATTTCTTAATAAACACGAATTAGAAGCTAAGTTTGCAGCACCAAGTTATGAACAACTAAATTAGGAAAACACTAACTTCCGATTAAAAAAGGTAACTCAAATAAATACATAATTCTAATTTCTAAGTAGAGCTGGTCACCATACTCCACTTTTATATGTTACTTTTTAAAATATATCTAAAAAATGTATTTGGTAACTATTTAATCTTATCGTTTTCATTTTAGGAATTTTTACCTCCTATAAAAAAGGTTAACACCTTATTTATTTTAAATAAATACCATTTAAATAAATTATATTCTATAGATACCTTTTAAGGTTTATAGCAAAATATTTAATTTTGGTTACCTCCTAGCCCTAAGCCACTAAATACGCTAATCAGTTACAATATTTTCTTTCTCTCTCTACTTTGATACATCCCATTCTCTTCCTCCATCCCATTAAAATTTCCGATTCTCTTCCTCTTCTCTGTCTAGCCAACGATTCTTTCCATTTCATAAAACAACCAAAATCCTTACTAAATATTCGAAGACCAAGAGGAGTAAACGAAATTTTTGACGGATGGAATATAGAGAACCCAATGGCCAACACGGAGAACCTCCCCCTGGAGAAAGAAAGTGAGGTTTGTGGGCCTACGGCTTGACTTTGAAGGTTCACTATATGATGATTATGACTTAATTGAGCCTCCTACCAACTTTGATTTGGATGATGATGTTGCTAATAGAAGACAGAAGAGCTCATACGTGATATGTACGGGAAGACCGTTGCTCTGCTTAGGCAGCACGATGCGACAGTGGCGGCAGGGATTATAACCCTAAAGAAGATATGCAGATGCTCATCATGAATTTGAAGTATTTGAAACGCAAGACCCATCCCCTCCACCAGATTGTTATCTAAAAAATTTCATTTCTTATTCATCATTTTCTTTCTTCTACTGTTCAAAATCATGCTCTAAATTTATTTATTTTCATTGTAATTCAATGTATCTCGTTGTATTCCATGTATTTTATTGTATTCACTGTCTTTTTTTCTCATTGTATTTCAATATATCTCGCTGTATTCTACGTATTTCATTGTATTCACTCTCTCGCTATATGCCATGAATGTATTCATAAGTTTTTTTTTAATTAATATAATTTATGTATTCAGATGTATTATATAATTTCTCTGAAGAATGCTATGTTTTTGGGGTTTTTTCGGTTGAGAATCTTTTTTATAACTGAAAATACAAATTTTGTATGTTATAATTGAATTTGTTGAGTTATATTAGGAGTCAATTATGTTAATTGATTCACTTTCCCTTTTAAAAATAGTGTAATCCCCTATTTCACGCCGTGAATACAGTCGAATACAATAATCTGTCCAGATGTGATCCCATGTTTCACTCCATTAATACAGTCGAATACACTCGAATACAACAACTGATTAGCTGGACTTCCCTGATTCACGCCTATTTTTGCTACTGTATTCATGAATACAATAGCTTAAATACATCAAATACATCTTATAACCGCATAAAAGATATCTATAATCCGTAATATAGAAAATGGTATCTATAGATGGCTAATTACTACCAAAAGATAGTGTTTTATGAAAATTTCTCTTCATTTTACCACTAATAACATGATTTGTTCGATCCACTTCATATAATTTATTTTGTATGAGAAGAAAAATATGAAAGGACATGTAGAACTCTTGGCATCACCCCTTTAACTTTGGAGGTAAGAACAATTCTGATACATTATAATCACCTCAAATTAACACTCTTTTTCGGGAAGAGTCATATTATAAGAACTAATAAAAGAGATTCAAACGCTAGTGTTAACATCATTCCTACATTTTTAACTTAAAATAAATGCTCAAGTACTACAAAATGACACTGAATATGCATATGTTGATTAGTGTTTATAATAAAGTGTATGTATATTGGATTTAACTAGTTTCCATTTACCACAACTGAATATATTGTAGGACGGTAGACTGGTAGTCTGTTGCCACTACTTTTTCTCAAAGGCAGACAAACTCAATGCTACGCAATAATCATGTGTGATTAAGTTTATTCCACTTACAGCTTGTTTGAATTGTTGTTACCTACTGTCGCATTGTATGTATTGTTACTTTAAAAATAATGTTTATTTTGATTGTTATTTAAATTTTATGTATCGCATCATTAAATTCGTCGTTACGTAACGACGAAAAGTGCAACTTTATGGAACGACCGATTTGGTGTGGTCGCATCGTTATCTTATTTTTTCTTCTCATTTTGGCCTTCCTTATTATTAAATAATCTTATTTTATCCTTTACCCTATCTTTTTATATAATAATTTTACCTTGTACCTTACGTTTTATTAAATAATATTGCAAGTTTATTCTTCACATTGTTGACGCATGACATCATGAAACGATGACAAACAATACAATCTATCCAAACATTGTATACATCACAACAATATAATACAATACAATACGATACGATACATTATGAAACAATACATAACAACCATCCAAATAAGTTGTTAAGCTTCAACCTTTTAAATTAAGTTTCCGACACAGCAGATTACCTTCTCACAATTATGGAGACACACTATAAAGTACAACGCAATGCTAGTAGTTTAATTATCCAAAAAGGAGGTGTTGAACATTTTGGCATTATTGGACTATAGAATTGGAATTGACCAACGAAACAAGCTGGCACGCAACAAATAATAATGCATTAATATAATCCTGAATTGTTTTTAATGGATAATTTTAAGTTATAAAACATTTGAAGTTGGATGAGAAACTTTTGGCGATCTAATCCATGGCAATGTGCAGTGTGCATGCAGTTATTGAAAAGAAGCCTTCTTGGAGAGAGGTGGTGGGGTGGGGTTGGGTGGGTGAGTGTGGGGATGTGGGGTGGGTTGGAGAGGGTGGGAAGGTTGAGAAGGTGTTTTGGAAAATATTTTCCCTTCTCTTGATAAGGAAAACATTCTCCTTTAATTGGAGGAAAATGAGTTCATACGAAAAATATTTTTCAAAACATTTAAGCCAACCAAAAATGAGAAAATTGAAAAATATATATTTTTCGGAAAATAATTTCCTCCGTACCAAACACACCCATAGTTTATACTAATACACCGTCTGGTTTTTCAAACTCCTAGCAAGAAAAAGGATTTGCATGCACAAAAAGATTTTGCAGCTCTGCATTATGATTTTAATAATGAGGTGCTATCTAGATGTGTATTAATCTGTCACCATACTGACAAGCAGGAAGAAAGCCTTAGTGTAACTGGTAATTTGATCAGGATGTCACTGGTTCGAGCCGTGGAAACAACCTCTTGCAGAAATACAAAGTAAGACTGCATATGATAGACCGTTATGGCCCGGCTCTTTCCCGATCTCGCGCATAGCAGGAGCTTAATGTACCGGACTGCCCTACTAACAAGCAGCTTGATGAGTATAGGAAAGGAGAATTAATCTAAATAGCCACCCAATCGCTTACACTAAAGTTGCTGATAGATATATAATAAATATATCATCCATGTATAATATATATATATAATCATTATATAATCAATGTATATCAATTGAAAAAAAAAGAAAATAATTAGGGGTGTTCATAAAAATCCGAAAAGCCGAACCAAACCGAAAACCAAACCAAGCCGACCAAAAAAACCGATACTTTTTGGTTTGGTTTGGTTTTGGTTTTGAATTTTAAAAACCGATCATATTTGGTTTGGTTTTGGTTTTAGTCAGAAAAAAACCGGAAAAAAACCAAACCAAACCAAACCGACTATAGGAGTAGCTATTCAAATTATTATTACACCTATATATATGTATATTTTTATACAAAGTTTCAAAATTTTTATGGTAAATGTTACTCCCTCCGGTCCACAATAAGTGACCAATTTACTTTTTTAATTTGATCCAATAAGTGTCCATTTATATAATCAAGAAAGAATTCAATTTGTTTTTACAAAATTAACCTTATGTACATATCCCTAAAAAGTATTCTTACTCCTCATATTAAATATTTAATTAAGGGTAGTTTAGTCATACTAGGTATTTTTGTATAGAATTTAGTATTTTCTTAATGGGCGTGCTAAAAGCAAATTGGTCACTTATTGTGGACCGGAGGGAGTAATAGTTTGCAC